GGGGCTTCCCTGGTGGCGCAGTGGTTGAGAGTCTGCCTGCCGATGCAGGGGACACGGGTTCGTGTCCCGGTCTGGGAAGATCCCACATGCCGCAGAGCGGCTGGGCCCGTGAGCCATGGCCGCTGAGCCTGCGCGTCCGGAGCCTGTGCTCCGCAACGGGAGAGGCCACAAGAGTGAGAGGCCCGTGTACCGCAAAAAAAAAAAAACAAAAAAAAAAAACACTGCTAGGACTAATAAGTAAGTGTAGGTTAAGCAAAGTCCCAGCATATAGGAGCAACACACAAAAATCAATCATATTTCTATATACTAATATTAAATAGGTGGCAACCAAAATTTGAAACATACTACTCATTTACAGTTGCTAAAAAACATGTATTTAGGTATAAATCTACAAAACTTGTCTGATGAAAACTATAAAACGTTAACGAGAGAATTCCCTGGCAGTCCTGTGACACAGGACTGCTGCTGTGGTTCACTGCTGAGGGCCCAGGTTCAATTCCTGGTTGGGGAACTAAAATCCTGCATGCTGCAAGGTGAGGCTAATAATAATAATAATAATAATAACAGCTAACATAAAAAAGTCACAACAGCAAATGCTGGTAAAGATACAAAGAACTTTGCTGGTGGGAATGTAAAATGGTATAGCCACTCTGGAAAACAGTAAAGCAGTTTCTTATAAAATCAAACATGTGATTAACATACAACCCAGCAGTTGCACTTCTGGGCATTTATCCCAGAGAAATGAAAGCTTACATCCACACAAAAACCTGTATATAGATTTTCAGAGCAGCTTTTTATGTAATAGCCAAAAATTGGAAACCACCCAAATGTCCTTTGATAGGTGAATGATTATACAAACTATGGTACATCACACCATGGACTACTACTCAGCAATAAAAAGGACAAACTTCTGTACATGGAACGACTTGAATAGATCAAGGGCATTATGTTGAGTGAAAAAAAGCCAGCCTCAAAGGTTGCATACTGTCTGATTTATTTACATAACAAAATTCTAGAGATGAAGAACAGATTAGTAGATTAGTACCAGGGACTAGAAAGTTACAGCAACCATGAAGGATGCCTCCACCAGGGAGCTCCTGTGCGATGAAACAGCTCTGTATCTTTTTTTTTTTTTTTTTTTTCCAGCTCTGTATCTTGATTCTGGTTGGGGTTACACAAATCTTACATGTGATAAGACTGCAAGAACTAAACATACACACACAAGTGGATGCAAAACTGCGGTGATTTGAATAAAGGCTGTAGATGGTACTGATGTCAATTTCCTGGTTTCGCTATTGCACTACAGTTATATAAGATGTTACTACTGGGAGATGCTGAAGCCAGGGCACACAGGACCTCTCTGTACCACTTTTCTAATTTCCTGTGAGTCTGTAACTATTTCAAAACAATATATTTCAAAATAGAAAGTGTTTTTTTAAAAAGACTACATATTATATGGAATCGATATATAAAATGTCCAGGAAAGTCAACATAGAGACAGAAAGTAGATCAGTGGTTGCCTACAACTAGGGGGTAGAAGCAGTGACTGCAAACAGGCACACGGGAACTTTGGGGGGAAATACAAATGTTCTAAAACGGAATTGTGGTGATGGTTAAACAACTTTACTGTGATTTTTACTTAAAAAAACACTGAACTGTACATTATAATGGGTGAATTTTATGATATGTAAATTATACCTTAATAAAAAAGCAACATAAACATATACTCAGTCAAACCAGAATTATCCAAAAGCCTTCTCAAGCAATCTTACCTGAGATTCCTTTAATGCTTGCTTTCCCCACCAAATTGGGTTGGTATCAACTATGATAACCAGAAGATTCAATTCATCTTCTGAAAATATTAACAAAAAATAAAAAACATTAGCCTCATAAAAGTGAAACAAAGCTAACATTCTCGATTTGTAAATTAGATCCAGAGCAAGCACCACTACATGCCTTCACATGTTTATCGTCCTACAATCATGAAATTAACACAAGGCCAAGTTCTTTTAAAGATTTAAAGCTCTGGGGGCCCTTAGCAAGCTCTTGCTTGCCTCCTGTACATCTGTACCTTTCATGCACTAGAATGTAAGCTTTGTTTCTTTTGTCACTGCTTATCCTCTGCTCTGAGCACAATGCCTAGCATGTGGTGGATGATCAATAAATATCTATTTTATGAATCCAAAGACATATGCATTTTAAATGGCTGGTCAAGGACAAAAAGCACAGATTAACCAGTAGTTAGAATCACTAGTAGAATTTCAGGCATGGGGTGGCAGGGGGGGTAGATTTAAAGGGAGACACAGAATCAATTTGGCTCCAAGTCCATCAAATCACCTAGCAGCAAGGTCAATTATACTTAGGAACCAATCTTTAAAATGTGAAAATGAGGGGAATTCTCTGGTGATCCAGTGGTTAGGACTCCGAGCTCTCACTACAGAGGGCCCGGGTTCGATCCCTAGTCGGGGAACTTAAATCCCATAAACCGTGAGGCCAAAAAAAAGAAAAAAAGAAAAAATAAGGTGAAAACCAGAGTGGAAAGCACTTGCTATGTCAAGATTTTACTGTGAAAAAAATTAGGCTACTCTCTACAAAGTGACAGACACAACTAAAGAGGCTAACTTAACATATTAGTTCATTCAACAAACATTTACACTAAGTACCAGTGTTAGGTGTTGAGGATACTGAGTCCAAGCCCTCAAGGAGCCTACATTCTGAGGTGACAGACATATGAACCCATAAGCACACACTGTTACAAAAAAAACAGGATGCTCATTTAATAGCAAAAAGCAACAATGCCTTTCCTGCCCCCATACTTTCCATCCTCCAGTTCCCTGTTCCCTGTATCAGGATAATCCCACCCCGTCTTTGATGTCTGCTTACATACCCAAAACCTATTTACTCTCTAAGGCTCCAAACCAATGCTACGTCTTCACCCAGAAGTCCTCCCTAGGTCTTCCAACAGGTCCTGGCTCCCCCATCTCAGGAGACTGGAATTCTCAGCCCCTCTGCATCAGGTCCGGCACATGTAATCCTATCATCCCATCCCATGCTGACAACTCAGCAAGGGACTTATTGCTATCTTTTGCTATCTTTCACCACTTATAAGATGTACTCCCTCCTTTCTTTTTCTTTTTTTTTTTTTTAAGTTTGACAGATGCTGAACTGAGGATGGCATCTTACCCTTATGATTGATCACATTTTATTTTCTCTTAGTGGTATATTAAATAAAATAAAAGCACGTTTCATAATCAATACTATCTTAGATTAGGGGAAACATGGTATTTCTCTTTTGCAAGAGAAAGTAACTTGCTCTAAGTCACATGGCCTGCTAGCAAGTAGCAAAGCTAACACCCAACTCTGAAGACAGATCTGCTTGACTCTAATGACTGTGGCTTTTCAAAGCCCCACTGCCTACTTCTGAACACCAACAGCATCACTTCTCTTCTCATGACAGCACTCACTACCTCATTTTACACTTAGCTGTGTTTCTGATCTCTCTTCCCAGCTCTGCCCTCTAAACTGTGGACTCCTCAAAGAATGAGGAATGAATAACGTAATGTTGCATAAATCACAGAAGAAAGTGCCTGGCACAGAAGAGGCACTTAATTGTGTCTCCCACAGGCCCTCACTCCTCTACCCAAAAGCCTTTGGCCTTATTCTCCATCAGGTCCCACCTCCCAACTCTCAGGGGCTTCCTTGCTACTATCAAGCCTGAGAAAAACAGAAAGTGCTGCCTGTCAGGAGAGGTGTGTATCCATATACACATGGAATGTCACTATGAATTTCCTTCTTTGGGTCTCTACCTCCACATTTGTAGACAGGGGCCATACAAGGTCTGCGTCCCTCACAGGGCTGTGATATTGATTAAAACAGATGAAGGATGCGTGCACAATTGTTATGGCCTCTGAAAGGACCTATTTCTACTCTTGCTCTCCGCAGTCCATGTCCCACACAGCAGCCAAAGTAATCTTTTAAAATCATAAATCAGGGACTTCCCTGGAGGTCCAGTGGCTAGGACTCCACGCTTCCACTGCAGGGAGCACAGGTTCTATCCCTGGCCGGGGAACTAAGATCCCGCAAAATACTGCGTGGCCAAAAAAAAAAAAAAAATCGTAAATCAGATAGTAAACCTACCTTGCTTAAAGCCCTAAAACGGCTTTGTATTACACTTAAAATAGAGATCAAGCCCCACAAGGGCCCTGCACCTGGCTAGCTCCTTGATCTCATCCTTCTAGCCCACCCTACTCCCACCACCCTGGCCTTTTTTCTCCCTTTAAGATATCAGGCTCTATAACTGGTAGCTTAATGTATGAACGAAAGTCTCTCCACCTTCTTCTACCCCCGGGTGCCCCCTTTCCGTCTTCCCATTGCAATGTAGTGGCTCAACTTGCCACAGGGTCTTTATAAAGTCACTCAAGTCTTAGTTTCAATATCACTGGTCTTCCCTGGACCCCTATCGAAAGCAGCTCCTTCTTGATCATCCCCTAATCACAATCGACCCCATCATCACTTTATATTGTCGTCACAGCTCTTGTCACCCTTCGAAATTATTTTTATTTACTTGCCTACTGTCTGTCTCGCTCACTAGACGGTAACCTCCACGAGTCTGTAACGTTCTCTATGTATCTCCCAGGGCATGAAATAACGCCGGGCACACAAGAGGCGCTCCAAAAATATTTACTGAATGAGTACATTCGCTACTCCTCTAAAGACCAAACAAGCTCCACCCAGCCCCCAGAATATACTGATACTCCATTTGGCCGGCCCTGGCCGGGTAAAGTCTGCTCAGCCCCGGGGTCCGGGTCCCGCCATCGCAGCCCTCACCGTCTGAGACCATAGCTGCCCGTGTCCCTCAGCGAAAAGCCGCTTGCAGTCAAGCGGGCCTCCGGGGTACGGCGCACCCCAACTTCCGGCGCCTCAGAGTGACGTAAGAGAGTGCTGGGCTCAGGCCGCGAGCCGTAGCCACAGCCCCGCCCCCAAGGCGCCGGAAGTGGAGTGCAGAGCCGTGCAGAGCCGTGCTGTACGCTGTCGGTCACTGTGATTCGGAGCCCGCGCGGTCGCTGGACCCATCCAAGTGGCGCGAGCGGCTCTGGGCCCCTCGGGCCCCGCGGTCCAGAGGGCACCATGGACGACAAGGGTAAATTGGGACGCGACGGGCCTGCTGGGCCTAAAGCGGAGCCGCGCAGGGATCCCTCCACCTCGCACGCCCAGACTGGGCTCCGGGAGAGGTCACTTTCCAAGCTCAGGCTGTTTGGCTGGATGTGGTTCCTCTAGTCACAACTAAAACCACTCGCTGCTCCTGTATCCAGGGAATGGGTCCTGGGGGTATCCCCGGACACCCCTTCTCCCCACGCTTTCCAGTGCCGTCCAAAAAAGTGAGATTTCGGACGCATGTGCAGGTCTTCGCAGTCTTGATTTCCTCATATGTGAAGTATAAGTAAGACTCCCTGCCCTGTTGGATCTGGTACTAGAATTAAAAGAAAGGCGTATTTGATTTGCTTGTCTAATGTGGTTACCAAGGTGTTTTATTAAGTGAAGAAGAAGGGCAAACTAATGTGTATACAGTACCTTTCATGTAAAAAAAAAAATAAGAGCAGGGTGGACCTCTGCATCACATACATGTACATATGTATGTAGGTGAATACGCTTGACTTGGCATAGACTGGAGGGTGCAGGAGAAATCGGTAAGGAGGTTGGCTCTGGGATTCTTTCCGGACTTGGGGTCTAGGATAAGGGGAAGAATGACCTTTCACTACCTTTTGATGGGGCTTAAATTTTATGCCATTGTACATGGCTAACTTTTGCAAAATGAGAGAGAAAGAGTTTGCAAATAGTAGAGTGATGTCATATCTATTCCCGTCAACATTTATGGTGCCCCTGAAGCCAAACACCCTGCAAAGAAAATATTTTTAAAATTAGTTTGCTTTTTTTTTTTTTGCGATACACGGGCCTCTCACTGTTGTGGCCTCTCCCATTGCGGAGCACAGGCTCCGGACGCGCAGGCTCAGCGGCCATGGCTCACAGGCCCAGCCGCTCCGCGGCATGTGGGATCTTCCTGGACCGGGGCACGAACCCGTGTCCTCTGCATCGGCAGGCGGACTCTCAACCACTGCGCCACCAGGGAAGCCCAATTAGTTTGCTTTTTAAAGTCAACAGTCATTGATAAGCTCTCTGGTCTTCTATCCTGCTAAATGAATTTGATGAATCACTTTTTTCTCCCTTCCCAGAGTTAATTGAATACTTTAAGTCTCAGATGAAAGAAGATCCTGACATGGCCTCAGCAGTAGCTGCCATCCGGACTTTGCTGGAATACTTGAGGAGAGATAAAGGTAAAGACGGTCATCCTCCATCACTCCAGGTGTTAGGAAAGTCTGCTCATAACTGTTAGACGTGTAGCAAGTGAGAGACGGATGTGTGCCTACATAAGGTAATGCAGCCCCAAGCTCAGCTCCTCCCTCTTTTTCTGTCCTTTTAATGTGAAGAGAGCCCTCAAGTTATCATTGAATGGGTCTCCTTTCAATGAAATATACTTTGAATCAAGAATGACCATATTGGCCTTTCTCACCTTCTGAGATGGCCCACGCTCTGTCTGTGGAGTGTGTTTCTCTCTAAATAAATGCACTTCTTATCTATCACTTTGTCTCTCACTGAATTCTTTCTGTGATGAGACATCAAGAACCTGAGCTTCATTAAGTCCTGAAACCAGGTGTGTGATCTCAGTTGGAAGACAGTACGTTTTGGCCGGGTTCGAGTCCCGGCATGTGGGTTCAAGTCCCAATCTGAGGTGCACCGTCTCACTTTGAGAGTAGCAGCTGAAATTGGGGGGATGCTATCGTTCTTCTCACTACAATAGCAGGTGAGTGCAGGGAGCCAGCCAGATGGACTGAAGGGGCTAGACCAGCATAGATCCTGCATTTTCTCAAAACTGACCTGCCAGGGCTTCTTCCTGCCAGGGTCCCCACTGAATAGTGGGGAGTGGAATCAAAATTGCAGAAGGTTGGGGTAATGAAAAATAAAGGAAAAGAAAGAAAGAGAAAGTCCAGAAAAGATTTGGGGAGGAGAACAGAACCAAGAAATCTCAGAAAGCAAGCGACTGTATTTTTTAACACTACATAAAACAATGGAAGAGGGAGCTCTGTGGGGTTAGAAAAGACAACTGAACGAAGTCTCTTTCTAAAAGTTCAGGAAAACTCATTTCACTTAAAAATGAAATGGTTGTGTCCAAACGCCATAAAAGTTACTGTAAGGAAGACAGAATGAGAATAACATCCCTGCAGACAATGAAATCACACCAAAACATAAATAAATAAATAAATAACCCCCCCAAAAAAGAACGACAACCAGAAAAAAAAAACCATAACACGGTATTTTACAATGAGCTAAAATTTTTTTAAATGGTACAAGACATGAGACAATATAAATCAGATTTAGAAAAACAGAAATGTAGTTACAGAATTCAAGAAAGAATTAGAAATAAAAGAAAAAAAACATTAAAAAAAAAAAGAATGACCATATTATACCAGGTTAACTTTGAAGCTTAAATTATAGCAATAGTTGAGCTTTACAAGGATTTATTGAGCTTCTGTCTTGTGGAAGTTTCTTTGCAGTTGCTGTAGAGAATGTTCCAGTATAAATTCTGGTTTTAATGTCATCATTGTGATTACTACTAATTCAGACATCCTAAATGTAAGCATCTGGGTATAAACAAAATAATAATAACAACAATAAAAATAATAAAGCGTTCTTTAATCTAAAGCGCTGGCCTAGAGATGCATGTCTCTAAGACAATCTCCAGCCTCTTCCCATTGCACTTACAATAGCATCCAAACACCTGGGACTTCCCTGTGGTCCAGTGGCTAAGACTCTGCACTCCCAATGCAGAGGGCACGGGTTGGATCCCTGGTCAGGGAAGTAGATCCCACAAGCTGCAACTAAGAGTTCATATGCCGCAACTAAAGACCCAGGGCAGCCAAATAAATAAATATTAAAAAAAAACAAATCCAAACACCTAAGCCTTACCTACCCCACCCCGCAGACCTCTTCTGTCACTGCTACTTAATTTCCTTCTATGCTGTCCCTCACTGAGCTGTGCTTCACTCTGGCCTCTCTTTGTTTCTCATACCAAGTTTATTCCCTTCTTGGGAACTTTGCGTTTATAGTCTGCATCTGAGACTTTGCCCACTGGATCTTTACTCGGCTGGATCCTTTCTTACTCAGGTCTCTGCTTAGGCCTGCACTCCAAGAGACCACCCCTGTTAACTCTGTCTAAAGTAGCTCCCCCTTTCTCATCATTCTGCTTTTTTCTGTCCTCATTTCAGTCTGTAATTGTTGATTTCCTTGTGTGCTTGTTTACTGTCTGCCTCTCCCACTAGAAAGGGAGTTCCGTCAGAGCTGGGACCCTGTCTGTCCCGTTCACTGATGTATCTCTAGCATCTAGAACAGCGCCTGGCATACAGCCTGCACCCAGTAAACACTGGTTGAATGAGTGAGTGAATCACAGACCCATCGAGGGTCAAAAATGAACGTCACATTCCTCATGTGATCATTCCAGGGGAGACACTCCAGGGCCTGAGAGCGAATCTCACCAGTGCCATAGAAACCCTGTGTGGCGTGGACTCTTCTGTGGCCGTGTCCTCGGGCGGGGAGCTCTTCCTGCGCTTCATCAGCCTTACCTCCCTGGAATACTCCGTAAGCCCCTGCCCTCCTCGGTTACCTCTCTGTTTCTCTGTTTGGCCACAAATATTCTCAGCTTTATCTGGATCCTCCCCTTCACCTCATTTTGCTCTTTTCTTCCCAGGATTACTCCAAATGTAAAAAGATCATGATTGAGCGGGGAGAGATTTTTCTCAGGAGAACATCACTGTCGAGAAATAAAATTGCAGATCTGTGCCATACTTTCATCAAAGATGGGGCGGTGAGTAGATCTTGATCATGTGTGGTGATTGGGAGCAAGGACTTTGGAGTTAGACTCCTGGGGTAAGATCCTGAGTCTGCCACTTACCTGCTGTGTAACCTTGGACAAGTTACTTAACCTCTCTGTGCTGCAGTTTTCTCATCTGTTAAATAAGGGTAATAACAGCACCTACCTCATAGGGGTGTTGTGAGGATTAATGAGATGGTATGTGTAAGGACTCTGCGCTATGCCCGGCACATAGTAAGCACTGTCTAAATGTAGATATTATTATCATAGGTGGTTGTCATTTTAAACAAGCAGAGAAAAACCCTGAGACAGCATGGATGATTCTTGATTTGATAAGGTGTCTTACTAAAAAAAGTATTTTTTATTACTGGATATGTACTAAATCTTAATTAAATTAACACAGCTCTTGTCATTGGTTCATACTGACTGTCTTCCTGCTGAATGTTAGCACTGGATTGAGATTTTTCATCTTCATTCCAAACGCTCTTACAGAGATACCACCAAGTGTTGATAAGCTGAGTGAGGAAAGACGGGAGCTGCACATCAAGTCAGTCTCCCAGCAAAGGGGTCGTAGAACTTTTATGACGTCTCCTCTCCCGGCAGCACGCCTTCTTTTGCCATCTAAGCCTCCATCGACCATAAAAGTATTCACTTGCATCTGGACTCTTGTCCACTGTCTATTACCCCTTTCCCAATTTTTGAAGCCTTTTTTTTTTTTGGAGTATGTTATTAAATAAATGACGTAATAGATGCGAGTGGAACTTGTACGCAAGCCAGCTGCAAACAAAGCCATTTTGGGGCCAAGTGGAGGCAAGCCTGTGACTGCCTCTCACCGAGGCCTTCTCCTTCTGCAGACTCGCTGCAGGATTCGTTTGCTCTAGTGGAGTTGAATGTGTAATAACCACCCGCATCAGTGCTATTTTGGCTAAATTTCCAGCACAGCTGCTCAAATTTGAACATGCAGATGAACCCCCTGGGGATCTTTCAAATGAAGATTCTGATTCAGTAGGACAAGGGTGGGGCCTGAGAACCTGCATTTCTAACAAGCTCTTGGGCGAGGCCCAGAAAGGAGCTAGGGAGCTACATCCCTCCTCCTTGCTTACACTGTCCTCTGCACTCTATTCCCCAGAGCAGAGATTACATCTAAGTATCTGCAAATTGTATCCAGTCCACAGATGGGTTGTGTTTACCCCAAACAGCGTTTATAAGTTTTTAAAAATTAGCCAACATTGAAATATTGGATTTTCAGCGCCTCTAGAAAAACCAGATGATCTGACCACAGTGGGCCCACATGACAACAGCTGGAGCTCAGCCTTTCCACTCTGCTGCTGGCCCCAGCCGGCCCCCTGCATTCCTTTATGCTACCTGCCTGGTGCCCGTATGCCCAAGAGTGCGAACCATGTCTTAGAATTAGGGAAGCCAACCCAAAGGAACCTAACAGAGCCTTCAGATATAAAGGCTTCTGTATCTGAGTAACACCACATGGAGATGTCACTTCTGCGCTTGCTACGAGAAGAGGAGACCCATAATATATTCCTCTGACAGAAAACTTTTTCAGCTTGTATATGGGCTTAAACTCAGTGTACTATCAAGGATCTCCTTTCTGATTACAGCTGATTTGTGAGAGAGCATACGGAGAAGCTTTAGGGTACCAGGAACACGCATCAGAGGGTCATAGAGTATGGGTGATTGCCAGAAGCTTGCCCTTTTGACAGAGCTTTCTGTGCCCACAGAGAATATTAACTCACGCCTACTCCAGAGTGGTCCTGAGAGTCTTGGAAGCAGCCGTGGCGGCCAAGAAGCGTTTCAGTGTGTACATTACAGAGTCACAGCCTGATTTATCAGGGCAAGTATCCTTCCATTTGGTTATGAGCCCAGCAGTCCTTTTAAAGAGCAAACTGAGGATTAGAATCCATTGTAAGAGGAGCCAGAATAGGCCCCTGATTTGCCAATCAGTCAGCATTGCCTTTGACAGTGCCCATTCCTGCCCCTGGAAGAAAAATCACCGTGAATCTGAAGTAGGTCACAGTACAGGATCTAGGGGTTTTATTTAGTACTTAAGTCAGAGGAACAGCAATTGAAAGATTTTTATCAAGGAATAGATAATTCGCCACATATCTAGCCAGAACATAATAAAAGAAAAACCCTTTTTTTCTGAATTTACATATCTTTTTGTATCCCCAAGAGCGCAGTTCTCCTAAAACACATACTTCCTTCTAAAGGACCCAAATTCTTGTTTCCTTAGTCCAAAGTCTCAGGATGTGCCCCTTAATCCATTACTTGAACTGAGTTTCCAGCTAAAGTGATTTATCATTGTCCAAATTAAGTGACTCACCATACACCACTCTGGGACTTTCCTGGACTTTTTTCTAATGCTCTCAAACTGTCACTTTCAGTAAGAAAATGGCCAAAGCCCTCTGCCACCTCAGTGTCCCCGTCACTGTCGTACTGGATGCCGCTGTTGGGTAAGTGCCTGGCTTCCCCCGCCACAATTACTCTTCCTCGCCCACTCCCAGGGGTGGCTTGGAACAGCACTTCCAGTTGGAAGGTTTGAGTCTCGTTCATAAAACTGGACTGGGCAGCGTCCCGCCTCTTAACTGATAGCTGGGCTAAACCAGCAAGCTCATTATAAGGCCTTGATAGTGTACAGACAGGGCTATAGGATGTCAGGCAGAGGGGGAGTCATTTACGTGGCAGTATCATAGTGCATTTTAAGAGCAAGGTGCAGAGGTCAGGTCAGCACATGTGACCAGTGCTCGCTCTTCATCTGAAGACACGGGCTGCCCTCAGTGGCACTCTGGGATTCTTCGTCTCACCTGTGCAACTTCACTCCTAAAGCCCAGGTGACATGCTCCATGGATTGGCAGCGTGCCTCCCAAGAGAAAACAGGAGTAATAATCCCTTGGACAGGAGTAATAATCCCTTGGGAAGAAAACACATAAGGAGATGATTAAGGAAATTAGGAATGTGTTTAAGAGTAAACATTTTAAAGAATTCTACTAATTGCTCATTTTATTTTCTTTTAAGATCTATTTATTATTTATTTATTTTTGGCGGCGTCGGGTCTCAGTTGCGACACGCAGGCTTCTCTCTAGTTGAGGCGCACGAGCTCAGTAGTTGTGGCTCGCGGGCTTAGTTGCCCCGCGGCATGTGGGATCCTAGTTCCCTGAGCAGGGATCAAACCCACGTCCCCCACATTGTAAGGTGGATTCTTTACCACTGGACCACCAGGGAAGTCCCTAATTGCTCATTTCAAAAGGTAGATTGGCCTTCAGCCTACCTGCAAGATTCTTGAATTACATTAACATTTTTTCCAACTTCAGATCACATCAAGTCTTTAAATTTTGTTTGTATTAATGTAGAAAGGAAAACAGAATGTGCCACACGTAGTAAGGATAAATGCCGGGTCATGAAATCCTTGCTTCAGCTACACACATATGCATGTACATTACTGGGTGGCAGGGTGAGTTACACGTCTTATTGTGGTGTCATGACCAAAACAGGTCTTGGTGCCCCTGTAGCAGAACCGGTAACAGTGCCAGGGGTTGTCTCATGAGTTCAGTGCTCTTTGGAAGAAAGTTATGAGAGGAACTTACCTTGGTGAAAATGGAGCATTAATCTTTGCAGGCGATGTTGCTACTAAGAAGAGCAAAGAAGAGGGAGCGTTAAAAAATTGTTTTTAATTTCCTTAGCTACATCATGGAGAAAGTGGATCTTGTCATTGTTGGTGCTGAAGGAGTTGTTGAAAACGGAGGAATCATTAACAAGGTAGGAGCATCAGTTCTCCGCAGGCCCTTGCTCAGGGCGTGGAGCTGCATCACTGACCTCAGACATCCAGCTAGCACTGTATTGTTAACAATTCGTTCCTCTAACCCTGCTTAGCTTCAAGACTCCACCACTGCAGCCAATGGCTTCCCAGTTCCCATGAGCCATTGCAGCGGTCAAATTTTGTTCAGATTTCTTCCTGCTTTGGAGACTGATTGGTGTAAATTAGGAGAAAGTAATTTATATTTTTTCAAAACATGCTTTAACTGGAATTTAGCTTTTGGTTGGTTTTTCTTTTTAATGGAGCATATTTGACATCAGTATAATGTTTAAAATTTATCTGTTGCTTAACATGGAAAGATTTCATGATAGTTTGTTGTATGTGGTAATGTATAACATAAAAATTTGCCATTTTAATCATTTTTAAGTGTACAATTCAGTGGGATTAATTACACTCACATTGTTGTGCAGCCATCACCATTGTCTGTCTTCAAAACTTTTCCGTCACCCCAAACTGTCACCATCAAGCAAAACTCCCCATTTTTCTCTCCCCATCCCCTAATCTTTCTCCCTCCATGATTTTTGCCTATTCTAGGTACCTTATATAAGTGGAATCATACAATATCTGTCCTTTTGAGTTTGGCTTATTTCACTTAGCATGATGTTTTCAAAGCTCATCTATATTGTAGCATGTGTCTGCTTCATTCCTCTTTATGGCTGCATAATGTACCACATCACATTGGTTTATCCGTTCATCTGTTGATGGATACTTGAGTTGTTTCTATCCTTTGACTATTGTAACTAATGCTGCTGTGAACACGGGTGTACGATTACCTATTTGAGTTCCTGTTTTCAATTCTTTGAGGTATATACCTAAGAGTGGAATTGCTGGGTCATGTGGTATTTCTGTGTTTAGCTTGTTGAGGAACTGCCACAACTGTTTCCCACAGTAGCTACACCACTTGACGTTCCTACCAGCAACGTACAAGGATTCCAAATTTCTCTACATCCTTGCCGACACTTGTTTTTTAACTATAGCCACCCTAGTAGATGTGAAGCAGTATCCCATTGTGGCTTTGACTTGTGTTTCTCTCATGACTAAGAATCTTGAGTATCTTTTCATGTGTCTGTTGACCATTTGTATATCTTTGGAGAAACGTGTTTTCTTTTTTAAAGGTCTTCTGTAATTCCAAAGCCAGAAGTACATATATTACGTTCACTCATATACTTTCTGTTGCTTCCACTTCAGATATGCCATAAGATCTCACCCTTCTCCGCTTTTCTCTGACTTCCCAGATTGGAACCAACCAGATGGCCGTGTGTGCCAAAGCACGGAACAAGCCTTTTTATGTTGTTGCAGAAAGTTTCAAGTTTGTACGGCTCTTCCCACTAAACCAGCAAGATGTCCCAGATAAGTTTAAGGCAAGAGTTTTACATATTTGAAGGGGTATTTGAGTCTAAACTGAAACCTTTGAAGAAAAACGCAGTGCTAAGAATGTTCCATTAAGTTATTCACTTCCCACTATTTTTTCCAATACTCAGGATACAAAGGTAAGTTGGTGGCTGTTGAAGAGCCTAATTTGTCCCCAGAATTTAAGTCTTTGTCTCTCATTCAATTAAGCACTAGATACAGGCCAAGGAGGCAGGGGAAACTGGTAATAGTCGAAGTTTTGGCTCAGCTGTCTGGGCTCACTTGCCATCTCCACCACTTACTAACCATGTGACCTTGGGCAAGTCCTTTCATTGTAAGCTCTGTGAACTTCAGTTGTCTGCACAAGGGTTATGACAATTCTGAGATAATCCATGGGAAGAACTTAGCACAGTGCCTAGCACTTAGTAAGCACTCTGTAAATGCTCTAAATGGTTGTCCTGAGAGGTCTGGAGGAGTTAATCCAGCACACCAGTGAGGGGACACGTGGCTTAAGTTTTTCTTTAATGATCTGCTCACCCAAGCCACACTCATCCCCCTCGCCAGTGTGCTGCACACAGCTGGCCTCCCCCCGTTTCCAGAGAGCACTTTGAGGCAGGAGCACACTAATTGCTCAGGCCAAGGCCTCTCCAGTTCGGAGCCTTGAACACGTGGGGCAGACTAACGTATGCTTCCTGTCTCCTCAGTACAAGGCAGATACTCTGAAGTCCACGCAGACTGGACAGGATCTCAAAGAGGAGCACCCGTGGGTCGACTACACCTCCCCTTCCTTAATCACACTGCTGTTTACAGACCTGGGGGTGCTGACGCCCTCAGCAGTCAGCGACGAACTCATCAAGCTCTATCTGTAACAGCCGGGCCCTTTCCTGCCGGCGAACAGCTGATGCTGGGAGCAGCCTCTTGGCCCCTCAATGAGCCAGGCCAAAACGGAATTGTTTTTTATGAAATTTTATCGACTAAGTACTTAAAATCATACGTCTTGGAGAATTTTTATTCATTTCAGTCCCATCTAAAATATGTTCATGGTTCCCCTAGAACCCAACCTAAATTGTGCTTATGGTTTCCAGACACTTTCATTCATTTCCAGTTTCCAGAAATACAAATTAGATTATTGGCTACTTGACTGATGAAAGATGTGCCGCGTCCCCCTCCCTTCATCTTCCCCACACTCCAGACTTATCTGCCAGAAGCATCAATGAAAGCCATGCAGGCCTAAGAGAGCAGGGGTCCTAACTGCGGCCAGGCGCCCCTCCGGCAACCAACAGCCGCCCAGGATGCAGGCTACACGGTGCCTGCACGGTGTGAGAAAGGCAGGAAACACTTGCTGAATCTGCATCAGGCTTCCAGCAGTGAACATGAGCTGAGGGCTGTCATCTCCAAAAAAAGGATCAAGCCAAACAGAGTGGAAACTAACATGAGAACCCAAGACAGAAACAGCGTCTTTGGCAGGAGTATCCTACATGCCTCACCACTTACGAAGGTGCCTTCCAGAATATTTGCAAACTTTAATTCTGTATCTGGGAAAGATGTGAATTTAAACATGTCTGGGTCCTGAACAGCTTTTTTAAAATTGTTCTTGGGAACAATTCAGCATCTTTTCAAATTGTATGAAAGATTTTGATATGGCGTTGCATCGGTACCGCAAGCTGACCCCAGGCCCAAATGTATTGTCCATCTTGGTAAAGACACTATGCAGCCACCTTCACACACTTAAGGCACAGTTAGAATGAAATATAGTTTATTCAACAGAAGGCATAATAATTTTCTTTTCTAGAATGACTTGCTTCCTCTGTTTTTCAGATACTCACCAATAAAACAGTACTAGGGGCTGTGCAGGTGTTCTGCACAGTACATCAAAGAGAGAACTGAAGTCCACGGAGAAGGACATCCAGGGAGATCAGGTGCCTGAAAACACTGAGGAATTTTAAAAGGCCTAAAATCAAGTCTACATCAGTATCTCTGTGTTAAAAACTAAGTATAAAGTAGCCACCGAACACTGAGCTCTTTGAGTAACCCATCAAAATAAATACTGACATCTGTTATTTACACTCAGTTAATTTACATTTTCTTCTGTTAGACTCCAAAGGCTGGTATGTTTTTCATAAAATATTCATGAGCGTGAAACCCCTCACATCGCCGTCTGCAACAGCAGCTCTGGGAGAGGTGGTTCTTCCCGGACGTCTGCTGAAGTTCTGCTGTTCAGCACACGCGAGCGCAAGCTATCTGCGAGCGCAGGGCAGCTCGTGGCATTCCCGTTGCCCTCGTGCACTTCGCCTGAGCGGCAGGAATCAGCAGTCATCTTCCAAATCTGAGATCCCCAAATCTGCTGTCTTGACTGATCCTGTGCCACTTGTCAACAGCCCCTTCTCGAGTTCTTCTTCAGTAATTTTGCCTTTTTTAAACTTTTTCAAGAGCCTTGTGTCATTAAGAAGTTCTTCCATGTCCTCATCTTCGATATCAGAACCCTGAGTACAGAAGAGATCAACAAGCTACTGAATTTCTCAGCAACAGTGTTCTAAGTGAAACCAGCAATTTTTAATCAGTAACTAGCTTAGATCAGCTTCCACAAACAGCTCATTCCCCACCCAAGCCACCAAGGGAGTATAGAAATCTGAGAGTCCTATGCAATTCCTATTAGAAGATAACTATATACTACACTTCAGTGAAACTTGTTCAGAATTCTAAGTTGAGTATTTAAATAATAAAAATGCAAACTTTACCTCTTCCCTTTTCCTTTTTTCATTCCGTTTTTTCTTCTTTTCCTTTTTGGCCTTCTGCTTTGACCAAGCTTTATTTTTTATGAATTTTCTTCTCCCTTCATTTTCTGTTTTCTCTTTTCTTTGTTGCTCCAATAGCTTCTGCCTCTGCTTTTCTCTGATTTTATCTTTAAATGGAATGGTGTCTGTACTGACGTCCACAGGCACGAAATCTGGAAACTGCTTTCCTCTCAGCTCTGGCATCTTGGGCATCCTCAGCAGGCCAAAACCTCGAGCAAGACTTGCAAAATCGAGATCTGATTAAACCAAAACACTGCAGTTAGCACACCCAAAATAGGATTATAGGCATCAACCCACAGAACATTCATAGCAATATAATTTTGTCTACCTAAATGACCTAATGGGCTCATTTTAATTAGAATTAAAATAATTACATTTTTACTAAAAAGGAATACTCAGCAGCCAGTGTATTCTGTCTACTCAAACCCAAGAAAGACTGTATTTTATTTTTATTTATTTTTTTGGCTGCGCTGCACAGCACATGGGATCTTAGTTCCCCGACCAGGGATCGAACCCATGCTCCCTGCAGTGGAAGCTCGGAGTCCTAACCACCAGATCACCAGGGAATTCCCAGGAAGACTTTCTTTTAAATGTTTAGAATACATTAAACCTGGCATAGGCCTGACTTTTTTTTGTTTAACATCTTTATTGGAGTATAATTGCTTTACAATGGAGTGTTAGTTTCTGCTTTACAACAAAATGAATGTTATATATATATATACCTATGTTCCCATATCTCTTCCCTCTTGCGTCTCCCTCCCTCCCTCCCACCCTCCCTATCCCACCCCTCCAGGTGGTCACAAAGCACTGAGCCGATCTCCCTGTGCTATGTGGCTGCTTCCCACTAGCTATCTACCTTACGTTTGGTAGTGTATAAATGTCCATGCCTCTCTCTCGCTTTGTCACAGCTTACCCTTCCCCCTCCCCATATCCTCGAGTCCATTCTCTAGTAGGTCTGTGTCTTTATTCCCATCTTACCCCTAGGTTCTTCATGACATTTTTTTTTCTTAAATTCCATATATATGTGTTAGCATACGGTATTTGTCTCTCTTTCTGACTTCACTCTGTATGACAGACTCTAGGTCTATCCACCTCATTACAAATAGCTCAATTTCGTTTCTTTTTATGGCTGAGTATTAAGGCCTGACGTTTTTATAAAACAAAGCAGTTTCATACTTGTAATACTTCTAAAACCACCAGATGTTTCAGACGGAGATAAAATTATGTGAAGAAGTCCAACTTACCCTTTAATCTGAAGATGAGGTTACACTCATGCTTTGCATAAGCCTGGACGAACGACACAAAAGCCTTCATGCCCTTTTCAAACACAGCTCTGTCGGCCAGGGCCATGGACTTGAGCTTTGGAAGGAGGTCTACTGTGTTCTTCTGGACTTTCATCTCCTGCAGGGGGCACTGCACAGGGACCACAGCGTCACTTCTGGCTGGAATCACCTCATCCCCAACCAAGGCTACCCCATAAGAGCCAGTGCCAATAAAACCAAAGGCAGAACAATCCATTTTAATCTTAAAGCAGAGGCCTGGAAGCCCAAATCCAAGCAAAGTATTTTACTTGGTCCAGAAAGTATTTAAAAAATTTTAAAGCAAAGTTTAAAATGAGATTTTACCTAACAATCCTGATTTCTGCTTGAAAAGTATGGTAACATAGGTCTATGTTCCCAACTAGTGATACTTAGCTGGGGCCGAGCAGTGGCCATACAGCCATAAAGCCAGCCAGGTTCCCGCACGGACATCACCAGCCTGGCCCCTGTGTGCTGCAACCCCTAATCTAAGTTCTGGACCCCACTTGCTGGAAAAGAACTTTTTCAACTACCCCAGCACTGGACATTCCATAGGAAAAAGGAAGACAGCTTACTTTCTGGTTAATTGCAAGGAAACTGACGTACGACTCTTCCATGGGAAGGAGAAACACAAGTGCGCTGCCGCCGTGGCCGATGCGGGCTGTGCGGCCACAGCGATGCACGAAGGCACTGTGAACAACAAGGAGCAGGAACGTGGTCACCACGTGACGGTGGCCGAGCAGAGCACAGGCCTGCAGCCGCACGGCTGATGCACCTAAAATGACCCGAGGAGCTCCATCCCAACCCGCCGCTTATTAGTGCTATAGAAGAGCTGGCTATTAAAGTACACGTGCAAACCAGAGAGGGTTCTGTTAGACATTTACTATGAACTGTAAAACTTTTAAATTTATGCCTATGTGACGGTATAGGCAGGAGGAAGCAGTCTCAGTAGAAAAACTGAAAAACAATGAAAAGCGTAAAAAAGAAAATAAAAGTGACCTATGAGGAACCCCCCCCACAGGAAGTAACAACTATTGCTTAGGAGTTTGTATTTACAGGTGCTTTCCTATGTTTGGAGGCATTTATCAGGAATATATGCTTGCTTTCAGATAATAACTGACATCTTCATATCTGATGTATATATTGTTCTCCTTTAAACACTCTATCATGTGCATTTCTGCAAGAACTTTAAGGGACTTCCTTGATGGCCCAATGGTTAATACTCTGCACTTCCAATGCAGGGGGCATGGGTTCCATCCCTGGTCAAAGAAGTAAGATCCCACATGCTGTGTGGCGCAGCCAAAATACTTAAAAATAAGTAAATTAAAAAGATCTATTAAAAAGTATTTGAGGGGGCTTCCCTGGTGGCGCAGTGGCTGGGAGTCCGCCTGCCGATGCAGGGGACGCGGGTTCGTGCCCCGGTCCGGGAAGATCCCACATGCCGCAGAGCGGCTGGGCCTGTGAGCCATGGCCGCTGAGCCTGCGCGTCCGGAGCCTGTGCTCCGCAATGGGAGAGGCCACAACAGTGAGAGGCCCACGTGCCGCAAAAAAAAAAAAAAAAGTATTTGAAAATGACTGAAATTTCAGTGATAATATAGTATCACTACTGACCTATCAATGATAACTCACCAGTTCCCCTATTTTTGTTATTTCGTAATGTTTTGACAACCATCATTATGTTTTCTTCCTCAGGATTCCTATTTCATTAGCCTAGATTCCTAGACAGAGTGGGTAACATTCTCTCATGCTGTACCTGGCATTGCTGGGAGGGTCGTACTGCAAAACCCAGTTTACTTCAGGAATATCTATTCCTCGGGCCATCACATCAGTGCACACTAAAATCCCACTAGAAAATGAGAAAACACCACACTGAGTAAGGAGGCCACTATTTCCCTCACCATCAAGCAGTCTTTACTGAGGGATGACAGTAATAACATAGGTTGCAGAATCTCTCACAGAAGCAAATATATAGGAATAACATTTTGATTTTTCTTCCTCCTAAGAACCTCTAGGACTTTACAAGTTGTCAGTGAAATCTGTAAAGAGGTGGGGAGGAAACACTGAAAAGATTTTTTAAATTAGCATATTTCCATTGAGGGAAAAGAAAAAAAAAAAAACCCACAGTATTTGGTCTAATCCTTTGCAGCCGTTTAAAAAAAAACAAATGAAATTTTCCCTCCCAGACTGTCATGTATCCATCAATTCTATCACTTTGCCTAAAAGATTGCTTTAACATAGCCAGAAGGCTCAATGATTAAGAAACACAGAGAAGTATTATTTCTATGCACAAACAGAATCAAGTTATGATCACTAAAGCCACAAGTTCCCTACAGCCTAGCCACCAGTTGACAATCTACAGCCTTTAACGGGTTGCTCCTGTCTGTTCCGTCATTCAACAAACAGCTACCAAAGCCCCACTGGGGGAGCGAACACAACACACAGGTTCCCGTTCTTATGGAGCTTACAACCTAGCAGGGAAGTTGACAGATAAGTAAGGAAGTCAGTGTAGCAAAGTCAGTGTAGTAATGGGGTCAGGACAGAGGGCAGGGGCTCTGGATATTTATACAGAGAAGATGTGATAACCAGGCTGAGGAGGAAGAGAGTTCCAGGCAGGGAAACACATGTGAGGGTTTCGAGGCAGAGCGACCTGCAAAAGAGCAGAGTGGCTGGAGATCCGCCATCTCCAAGGAAGCCAA